GGAGTCCCTAAGCGCGTGTGGCCTCCACGTGGTGATGGCTCGCGATACGGCCCGCTGGCCAGTGCCTTATACACCGGCGTGGGTACATGACGCATGAACCTCAGACGTGCTAAGTGTGTTAGGCTGTCCAAGCATGCCCTCACGCAAGCTTAGGAAAGGCGATGCTCCAAGATATACGCTTATCAAAGACAGATATGTCTGTGTGATGACGTAAACTCCGGCCTAGTCATGTCCTGATGGCAACCGATAGCTTTTCATGTTACAGGGCAAATTAAAGCGCTTCTTTACATTCTTTCGTCAGTTAGGCCGGTGCGTCGCCAAATAATCGCCACTCGGTTAGAAACAGGCGCTGTCAGAAATTCCACAGCCGTCCCAAACATCGAAGACAATATGTGAGGATCACGCTTCTCCTAGTCCAGACAATGTGTCGCATTAGAACCCTTACGGCAGCCGCCCGCGCCTCAATCGCCTGATCTAACCGGTGAAAACGGGAAAGGCACCCGAACAGCGCAAATCTCTGTGAGAATGCGTTTGGCCAGGGATTAGGACAGCTTACATTACCTCTCCAATCACAAAGACCGCCTTGACGGGCCACCGGCGGCGGCGACGACTGATACGCGGCCCGATCACAAGTGTACATACTCCTGCATTCCTTCACGGACAGCGCGTGGCGCACGGGCGGGTCCCACATCAGCCGGCACGCCCGGAGTCGCGGCGGCTGGAGCGCCCGGAGTCGCGGCGGCCGGAGCGCCCGGAGTCGCCTCCGGAGTGCCCGGAGAGCACCGGAACTCTGCCGAAACCGGGGAGGACACGGCCCGGATCTGGCCCACGAACCCGACCCCGGCCGGGTGCGCCGTACCGTCTGACCGGCCGGCGTGCTGGCGCGGCCTCCAGTCGGCCTGTTTAGTCGCCCTCTGGGCGGCCGCTCGGCCATATTAGGACAAACACCAGCTGCGTTTTGGGCTGGGGCGCGGCGGGAGCGATCAGATAGGCGCGGTATGTCGAGGGCCAGGCCACACGGTAACAGGCAGCGCTGCTCTCGGACGATGGCGACCGGTCTGACGCCTCCGTTACTGCCGCCGCCGACACAGGAGTACGGAGGACCGGGGACGAGAGCGGCGCCGCTGTATCACCCGGGTGTGAACTCTCGCAGAGATCGCAGGCTTCAACCAAGGAGGACTTGTACCCCATGTCGCACGGTCACACCTGGGCACTGCATGGCGCCGAGCCAATGATGACGAGTCACGGCGACAACTCCGTAACGCGCGCGGAACTAAAAAGAGCAACTTTGCAGTACCAAACAAAAAAAGGAACACAACACACCATTAGTAAAGATATTCAAAGCATGGACCTGAGACGTTTTTAGAAGCAGCGAGAGCGCATCCATAAAGTGAAGAGTGGACAGGGTCATGTCAAGGTGATTTATTTTTAGCTTCCCAGCGCGAGGCCTAAAATTAGTAAGACGATAGGTGATCGATCTAGAATAGGCTAGAATCAACTACCACTCCTCTTATTCAAAGCCTCAGGGCCCGTCATTTCCCGAGACAAAATTCACAGCAATTAGCGGTTTTGAGTTAACCTGATGCAATTTCACTCGGATAAAAATCACCGGAAAATAAACAGGGTCGCCATTCTTTGATAAAAAGGCACAGAATGTAATCAATTTATCGTTGATCAGTTGTGTACCTTTTACCACTAACGATTGAAACATCCCATAGCCACGGCGTGGTTGGCGCCGAGCACCGGCCCGGCGCAGGTCAACGTCTGTGGAAGTCCTTCGAAAGTTCCTTCACAAAGGCTGCAAGATTAGGTATGCGTTTTCTAAGCAGCAGTACAAATGTAAGTACAAAACACGATGAGAGATTACCAAACCACATTCAATGAAAGTTTCAAATAACATCCCTAATGATTAATGCAATTTGCTACGACAGATGATTCACTTTCAAATGCTCTTGAATAGTCGCTTTATCTGTTATATTTTTGCGATTTACAATTACTTTTTTCAAAGTTATTTACATTATTATATCCGAACGCACCCTACCCCATACAAAGCAGGCGCGGTGGCGCTGCGTCGCTGTTGTCTGATTTGGTGCCAACATATCTCAGCCACCTCGCCTATCAGCGGTTGGAGGCTCGGAGTTGTCGGCCTTGAGACAAGTCGCCACACTCAACAGATCATTGAGACGAAATTCACAAAGAGTCTGCTGGAGACCAACCGTATACCGCGACAATATTGTGCCTTATATAACGGATACATTGTGTTTATGCTTCCGTCGTTTAACCCCATATATAGAAGACTTAGCGACAATCAATTTGCGGTTGTTGACAGCAATAGTATAGTAAGAGACTGCGTCTGAAAGTATAACGCATGGCCCTAGAAAGTACCTGCAAATTTGTCGTGTAGCCAAAACATCATGCGAATCGGATAAGGTAGTACTGTGCGTCACATTTACATTTTAACGGTTACAATAATGTTGTATTAATCATGTTCAGAATGATCCCCACTTTACAGGCGACAGCAAGCGTTAATAAATTACAAACTAATATTTATTACAAATAAACAAAATTTTGCACGCGTACTTCATATGCGTACCTACATTGATGATTAAGGCAAGCCATTTTATACCACATTTTGCACCACATAAATCTAAAATATAATTGCTTCATGTAGGAAACATTTTCAATCAAGATATTATTTTAAAAACCTTTCGATTGTGGTAATTAAGGTGAATGTCTAATACCAAGGAAGCCGAAGTCCCTCGCTATCAAACGGCAAACAATTTTCAAAATGGTTTGTCCGAGCACGGCAATCAATTCCAACTCAGAAGCTAGATCACCTACATGTGTATCCCGTCTCATATAGGTACGCCTCTAAATTGACGCTCTGCAGTCAGGCCTCTGGGTGGTTACCCATCCTGCCGAAGCCCGGTATACACTCCAGGTAGCTACAGGCTCCTCTGGGCACCACCCAGAGCCGACAGCCGCCAATGTTTGATCGCGGCTCGTTCCGTTTATGTCGGCAAAGCTTTGTGAGCAAAACTGGCAACCAGCCCACCGAGAGCAAGGCGCAACTCGACATGTTTACTGGATATCGCCGTAAACGCAGCAGGAGCCGCATACTTGTGTCACTTCGGCCACGGTTTACTCGACCTCAGTCTTTGCGGTATGCTCCGGCGCTCAACCAGTTTGACGCGATCCGTTCCTTTGCGCGTTTTTAAATCAATCATACCATAGCGGCTCACAGAGCGAGTTATCAAGTGCAGACCCACTTCAGGGCGCCGAAGAGGTCGTTCGACGAAAAGCTGCCCGCTCCCCCAGAAGCAGCTCGGTCGTATCATGCCTGCCGTGACGCGTCAGAGACCGTCAGTCTATCAGACATCGTCACCCATCGGAGGATGCACTCTATGCCTCCCGGTCGGTGTCAGCCTGGGGAGCGGGGACGGGTCGCGCGCCACACGCCACCGAGACGACATGAGGTGCAGGAGACTGGCGACCAGGCAAACATAATCTGTCCACAAGTAGACGGTCCGGAGCATACATGAGCTCGAGCGAGTCGGTACACCATGGTCAGCACACCTACAAGTGAGATTTGCAATCCATATGTTTCACCGTGATGCCCGATAGGCGCCGCGAACACGGCTGGCAGATCGCTGTTTACGACCGTACCGGTCGGCCTGTCAGGCTTGGGTGCACATCGCTGCGAAGGGGCTCGCTCGGATAACAGAGGACCTCACAAGACAGCGGAGTATGACAGGTAAGCCGCACTGCGGACATGACAGGGCTGTGTGTGCGGGAAGGTGGACGGCGCGGCGGCCGCGCGACACGACCTGTCCAAACAGTTCGTGCGTGCGTGCGTGCCAACGTGCGTGAGCTCGTGCGCGCGCGCGTCAAGCAAACGTGCGCGCCAGTGGGTCGACATTGTCTGCCGGGTTGTCACGTTGCATTCGGCGCACCTGACAGTCAGCCTGTCTGGCTCGGGCGTTTGTCTGCCGCTGAGCCGCCCACCCTGCTCCGCCGGGCCGGTTCGAGCCCCGCCCGCCTGGTCCATATGGCGGGTCGTGCCTCGCCGGCACCCTCGCCGTCCCGTCTGGCCCCGCCGACCTCCCTCTCCTCTCCCCGCAGGTGCAGTCGCGCCCGGAAAGGCCGCCGCGTGTTGCAATGCAGCCGGACCACCGCTGACCGCCGCCATCGCTGACTCCAATTACACTGGCCCTCCGCCGGCAGGTCAAACTTTTCTCCCATTGCGCAATGAGGCAGGCTTTCGCGTCTCCCTTGCCCTTCTTATCGGCACTGCCCTGCATCCCGTCGCAGTCGTACATTCGTCTCTCCCATGCCCACGTCCGGCTGTGTCCGGTTGTCAAGTCGCCGTCTGGCCGGCTCGCGCGGCGCGCGGCCGCCGGAGCGCCACACGGCGGCGTGCACTCATGTCTCGGTAATGCCGGTGCCAAGTTGCATCATGCTCGGACAAGGTCGTAGCTCGAGCCTCAATCACCTGTCTGTCTGGAGTGTGCGCGATTGATGCCGGCGGCGGCTCGCCGAACCGAACCGCTGCCTGCCCCTCGGTGGCATGTTATCCTGGCACCTTCCCGAAACCGGTTGCTGCTTTCCTGCGCTTCGGAGGGCATCCTGAATGCCGCGGCGGTGGTTCCGACGGCAGCGCCAATGGCGGCGGTGGAGGAGGAGACACGGACTCCGACAGGTGATGAAACCGCACCTCACGTCACACCTGATGTAACGAGTGCTGACTCTCGCAGGCTGATTCGCGAATCTTTGCGGGAGAGTGGCCACAAACCCATGCGCTATATTCGTCGGCAAGGTTTGTGTCGATTCCTCTAATCGATTACTCTAATCTAATAATAATTGGGAGCGCCCGGCGTGGCGCGGCGCGCTGTGACGAGTCGTGGCGCTGCCGTCACGTGCAGCGGCGCGACCGGTCGGTGGCGCCGTCGCCGGCCGGCGAACTGACTGATAGCGCGATAGGCACCGGTCGTACCACTTACCTGAGCACACCAGACCCATACAGGCGGCCGCGGGGCGCCCGGCCGCGCCAGGCCCGTCCGTCTCCGGGCGCTGCTGCTTGTCCTGCGTCGTTCGCACTCGCACGCCACACAGCTCGTCGATGCCACAAGAGGCCTCGCTGGCCCGCGCTAGTCGCCTCTCGCTTGTTGGTCCGCGGAACACTGCGCCACGGCGCTGACGGAGAGATCAGTGCTTCCACCACGAGCGGCGCGCGCAACTGACCGGCCGGGGCGGGCGCGAAGCCGGGACTGGCCGCGGGTAGGTACCGGCCGGCGCGCCGCCGCGCCGCCGCCACCGTCGCCGCCGCCGCCGGCCGGGCAGACGTCCTCCCCACCCCGTCTGACCCGGCCCCCAGCCCCGCGGCGACTGCCCCGGTGGTCGTTTCGATAACCCATTCTCGCCGACATATAGATCACCGCGCGAACGCTGAGCCACGCTGCTCCTCTGTGGGAGGCCCGTGAGAGATCGTGCTGGCCTCTGGAGCTCGGCGGGACGGCGGCAGTGCGCGCTGGCAGGCCTTGGAGCTGCCGCTCAGCAGCCGATCCACGTTCGCTCTGTGTCGACGCTGGGTCGCTCTGTGTCGACGCTGGGATGCCGTCGTCAGTCGCAACTCGCAGGTCAGCAGCAGAAGCCCGACATACCTGTGGAAGATCGCAGGAGGGGGTGGGGAAGAAAGCCGAGATCACGAGATCTACATATGTAGCGATTTCCGGTGACTGAGGTTTTCTGGTCAGTTCCTCAGGCGCGTTCTTGGCATTATCATGGGCATACTTATCACAAGTCCTCTTCTATATCATCGAAAGAAACTTATGACACCGGAGAATGTAATTTTAAAACTTACTAAGTTCCACTTAGATTTTTAAAATTTTCTGTAAAATATTGCTGGGAGCAGCTACAAATTAAACTGACTGAAACGGCCACCCCAGGGCAGGATCCAGCACAGAACACGGGTTGAAAACCAGATCGCTAGAACTGAACGTAAAGGGGTCTTATACCCATCGTATTCCAAAACTGCTTATTCACAAGCGGCAGACAGGCTGGGCTTATTTGGAATTGAAATGATCACCTAATTGAATGGGTCACTTGCCCTAAGCGTGCATAATGCACATGATTATATCCGTGCAACCATCCTTTCCATCTTTTCATGTCTTGTTCGGTTCATTAACACCCTGAACTATACAAGATACCCTAAGCAATCGTTGTGTGAACAGAGAAGACGATATAAAAAGATATACATTATTTCACATATAAACACTGTCAACGGCAAATGATGGGCATGTTGACGAAGCTCTTAAAAAGCTCTCTTGTGATAATTGGCAGAGGATTTGGAGGTACACAGAGAAGGTGCATCATATGTGTACAATGTACATACACACGCCACATACTGTCTTATTTATGTCTACAAATATATGTCCACTCGACACATGCTCGTACCTGTATGTGCCTCTTGTCTGTGCCAAGCATGCAGTGCACATATTTTGTTGCTAGGGAAGAGAAACCATGTACTCGTACACATGTTACCATGTGTTACCATGTTTATTTGCTGTGAGAAACCATTGGCAGGCTCCCTAATGGCTGCTGAACGTCAAACTAACGGCAACCTTTGCATACGGAACCCGTCAAAAGTCTCGAGATCTACAAAACCGATTAATTATCAAAACTCAAATGCCACTCGAAACGCTCTTTCCCGATCTACCAGATAAAAGTTAATCAAAGATTCTATTTACGGCTTGTAGTGGGCGCAGCCCTCGTTTTCTGTGATATATTTCACTCATCACAGCTGTCACATTTTGATTGATTCCAAAGCAATTTCACCAAGAAACTGAATAAAAAGGCGAGCTGTACATACAATTGCATATTTTTTATTAAGGTTGGAGGATGATGTAAGAAAAAAAATCAATAAAATTAACGATCAAAAAGCAAGCATGAAATAAAGATTTGCAATTGAGACATAAGCGTAGGAACCATGGGTGCAGTGAGTGCAATTGCACTCACGATACTTCTCCAGTGGGTGCAGACAATGTATTCTCCATCCACAATAACATGGAACAAAACCCCCTTTTCTCATCAGCACTACTTCCCATGCAGTTCGACAAATTCAGGATATTTTACCCACTATCCGTCTTTTGAAGCGTTTGCTACTGTGATGGTCTTCAAGACTGGAAAGTGCAGCAAAGGTGATAAGCAATCAATTACCTTTCATTCACCATAAGCAGGTCCAGAGGAAATGACATTTGCGGCACCAGGGTGGTAACAATGGGAAAAACACACAAAGTACTGGCAATTCTTGTTATCTTCAGGGTTGGGTAGAACATGCAATCAACGAGCCTGAGGATAGCCATCTCCAAATTAAGTGCTCAGTGACTTCTGAGGGTCATCCAGATGAAAACATTGACGCTCTTTATGATATATTACTTGTGTGATGTTGAGCTGGTTCAAGGGCAAATAAATTAGCAAGACAACAAAACAACGTATATCATTTATGTACGCCAAACCCTGGAACAATTCAGCCTGGACAATAGCTGGAGCCATATAAATCAAACGTACAATGGGAACGATGATTTTGTTGCAGCCCTACACTAAGCACGTGTCTGTTCCATTTCAGCATTTGCAGGACAGCATTATTAGTTACCTATTTTATTGTTCGTTTGCTAATATGCGTCTGTTTCACCAACAGAGCATCAAAGGTAAATACATAACTGACGGGAATATAATTCCACTTGCAACTCTTTGTCTCTGCACCTGAATGGCATACCTACAATCGAGAATGGCAACTAAACCAAATACGATAGAACATCTAAACCTATAGCACTCGTTTTGATATATTTATCATCATTCATCAGTGATCAGTTCAATCACAATTTCGCCTCCGTGCAAGATTATATTTTGTTTTAAATTGAAAAGACAGATTTGAACAGAGACATAATAAATTATGACATTGTCACTAGCTAGACGAATTATAAGAGGTTCAAAGATAAAGTTAAGACAGGATTGTATGCAATGATTGATGCAAGGATTACTTGTCGCATAGGTGCGCTGTTAGACATTTTAAGTGGAATCTGATAGATCAACCTTGTCAGTTTTCAGACATCCCCAATCGTTTCATTTGATCAAAATCCACAAGTGCGTGCGCAGTCTACAGAAAAAAAAGCAAGCACTTCCCCATCTGCGTCTATTGAGCTGTGGCTTTGAGAGCAAGTGTAACAACTGGGGTACGCCCGGTACTATTTCCATTGTATTCCAACCACTGATAAACAACTGGTATGTCCAGAAGTGATGTCAGCTACAGCTCTGATTCGTTCAGTAACGTTCAGGAGATATTCTCCAAAAACAAAACAAAATATTTGGTGAGTGCGCCAAAGCCGCTTTCCACTTTGCCCCCCCCCCTCCCAACTCCCCCAGTGTCGGCGAGGTTAAAAGTCTCGAATAATTTGCTCATGAACTTCCTCATTGAATATTATCCCTCGCCCGCACATGCCATTTTCCCATCTAGAACGCACATGGGGGGGGGGGATCGCCCGCATGTGCGGCATTTCGTTCCTGTTGGAGATAGAGCTTAGCGGTAAAGACCAAAAAGATTCTTTGGGAAGAGACGAATCCAATAATACCCAGTTTTACCTTCTCAGGTCAGTCATTGACCTTCCAGGTCAGGTCAAACTAAAAAATGTTGCTATTTTGGGTCAACGTTGGATATCAAGTGCGCTGCTTACCATATACCGATGACGATGCTGTTTTCTGGTGCCAAGACAGCTAGAACCTCTTTGTCACACTACCCGACCAGATTTTTGCTGCTGAGGTCATGTCAGGTCAAGTTAGGTCAAGGTCAATAATATGTGTTTGTATGTCTGTGTGTGTCTGTGTGTATACTTATGTGTGCACCGATTGTTTTTGTGTCCATATTACATGAAATCATGATCTGAGAAGCTTTTACCAAAAATGTAGTAAAAAAACTTGACAAAAAGTAATTTCCGCTTACCTAAAACGCAATTATCTTAGATGACCTAGGTTGACCTTGACCTTGACATCTGTACATCGTCGAACAACATGTTCCATGATAGTTGGGAGGTAAGACTGGCAAAAAAGGCCGAAATCAAGGTGTCAAAAGCTCACAAGGCCCATAGCCAGCGCAAGATGTTGAGAATTGGCCTTGGGTCATGACATGACCTGAAAAACAAGGTCATATCTCCGAAACCAAAAATCACAGAAACTTGAAATTTTCAGTGGACATCAAGAAAGGATAGAGGAGCAGCTATACGAAAAGTCAGCCTTCTAACTCTAAAAATGTTGAGTGCAGAGCAGAAAGACTACCTGGGGGGGGGGGGGGTGGCAACCACCCCCGCCCATGTGCGGGCGAGGGTTACATACGAATGACGTTTTTCAGCACCAATGTCATTAATCACAACACAATAAGACATGTTTAGCGCCGAAGTAATTGGCTCCTCCAATTTGGTAGCTGCGGCACCCCCGGTTCTGCCTTCTGTCCGCTGTCTCAGCGAGGATTATCCGAGGACAATGGCGCGGATTTCCCACCTACAGACGATACCTCTCTGTCAGCGCATCTGACCCTATCGCTACATCGATATCTCACGCAGCGTCTGCACCAAACTGCTCCTTTGACCTAGCACCTGTGACCCAGCGGCAGAAACAAAACCTGGCCGGGTCACAATGCGGCGTGTTCGCACTGATTCGCCGGCGTTCGGCGCGGCGGCTGCAGTACAAAACCATAGGTGTCCCTGAGGGTCACTCAGTGTGGCTGGAGGCACTCCCTCCCTCACTGCGACACTGCACATCAATGCTGGAACACGGGCAGCTATGTGGTGCAGGCAGAGGCCGTGTGCTGGTATGTGAACTCAGGCAGGGCCGGCTCGGCCGGTAGCATTGGATATGCGGCTAATGGACATCCAACCGCGGGCGTCGCGGCGCGTCGGCATGAGGGAATGACATTCAGAGGGCATGCTGGAAGGTGAAGGGATGATGGCGCTGGCAGATGGAGGACGGTGAGAGGAAGGGAGAGAGAGAGAGAGAGAGAGAGAGAGAGAGAGAGAGAGAGAGAGAGAGAGAGAGAGAGTCGCTCGACGAGGAAGCTGAAGAATATGGTTAAGCGCTGTGATACCGAAATAATTATTCAAAATAAAATAGAAATAATTATTCTATCAATAGGATGGTAATGGAATAACGAAATACCTATGTGCGCATAACCGTATGCTGGAATGTTAAAACTGAACAAACAGCATACTCATACCGCTTAACCTAAACGATC